CATGAAAAGCTCCCTACCCTTGGCATATACCAATACAAAGTCTTTAGCCTTTCCTTCTAGCTCAAGAGACAATTTAAGAAATGGATTATATTATGTAGGACTTTATGATCTCATAGCATATGAAATATCACATTTCTTTACTTCATTTACTCATCACAGATATGCCTTAAGGGCCAACTAAAAGAAGTGTTCTAGGCTTTGAGGAAGTAACTATGCATAAGGCAGGCCCTGTCTTCATGAAGTTTACATTCCAGTGGGGGAAGACAAATGTTAAAGAGAAAAAAAAAATAAGCAGGTACCCCACCCCCCCGCCCAAAATACTATCCAATAGCAGCCAGTACTATGAAAGATATAAAACTAGACACTGGAATAGAGAATGACCTGAGTGAGATTTAGGGGCCGAGGTAGAGTTCTTTAGATATAATGGTCAGAGAAGGCTCCTGCAGAGGCAGGAATTTGAGCTGAGCCCTAAATTACAAAAGGGAACAAGCCATACTTGGAAGTGGAGAAGATATATCCCAGAGAGAGGAACCAGCAGGGGCAAGGCCCTAAGGTAGGTCTGACTTCAACACAGTCACATAACAAAGCAAGCCAGTGGGTCCTGCACAATGGGAGAAGCAGGTGTCACACACCAGCTCACACTAGGGTTGCAGCCTTGGTGAGGAGTTTGAGAGTTCTGCGCACAGGAGTAGCATGGCACGACATGATTTATATTTTAGGACTCAGCCTGCTATGTGGGAATGAATTCAAAATCTAAAAATTAATTCAGAAGAGACTTTGACATAACAAAGAACAGAGATTTTCCTTCTAGTTCTCACTTGTTTTTCTTTCATGTGCTTTCTTTTTCAAACCTGAACTTCTGTGGATATTTTAGGAAGAGGCAGGAGACCAATGAGTCTAGTTCTCTATCATTTATTTGCCAAGTCTCTACACTGGCAGTGAAAGGTCTCTTTACGTAACGGTATTATAGGGACTGGCCTCCTTAGTTAGTCCATGTTGGAAAGGCCAGGTTAGTTAAGGCCACCGCCTGTTCTCATGTGACCCACATCAGCCACGGGGAAAGACTGCAGGTGAGAGTGTGGAGATAATGATAATAAGAACCATAACACAACAAACCCAAATTATTTTTCCCGATCTGGAAAAAAAATGATCTTATCATTCAGAATAAATGAATGGCTTCTTCACACAGTCGCTGAATTAAGAAATGTTAGAAAAAAAATCTAATAGTATATACTTTTTGTGAACCCAAAAGACACTATATCTTGAAGGCAAAGGGCTTTACCAGTCAGAACTTGATTCAAATGGAAAGAATGAGTACAAATGCCACCAGATTTCTTGTCGTACATAATTTCTTTGGGCAGAATTCTGCACAGTAGATTTCAAAAGCATTCTTTGTAGCAGTTAGGAGCCTTTCCCCAGATCACTGACAACTTTGTGCAAAGTCTGTCCCCTTTCCCTTTCAGGTTCTTGGAACCAGAGAAAACATGTACAGATGAAGATTTTCACTAAAAGGAAAAAAAAATAATGCAAAAGCCTAATTTGCATTGCTCAAGGCAAAAAACAGATATTTGGTGAGGGAAGAATTTTAGTGGTAGAAGTGCTAATTAATACAGCTAGACAAGGACCCGCCTTTTATTTTGAACTTTCAGAGTTTTAGGTAGGGAGTTAATTACTAGGATTTTTTTTTCTTTAATTGGTCCTAAAATGTTGTATAGTCACTGAAAATGCAAACTCAAATGCCTCTGGGGAACAGGCAAGTAATTTTAACATGTAATCAACAGAAACAAATTATTTGTGAGCTACTGTAGGGTCTCTTATTTGTTCTAGGTCTTTGAAATCTGATGTCTTTTTTTTCTTTCAAGTATTCCACACTGTGATCTTAGTAATCATTGCTTTTCCTCCCTCCCTTTCTGCAATGTGGTGAGTAAACAGGAAATAGTATTTATGGTACCTCAGCATGGTTTTTCCTATACTTCAGTAACATCTGAACTTCAAGGGATATTCCTAATTTTTCTGGGACTTGACTGTAGCCATCCTGATCAAATACTTACTTTTATTTTTTTATTTTTATTTCATTTGAGACAGAGTCTCACTCTGTTGCCCTCGGTAGAGTGCCATGGCATATCTCACAGCAACTTTGAATTCCTGGGCTCAAGGGATTCTCTTGTCTCAGTCTATGAAGCTGGAACTACAGGTGCCCACTACAACGCCTGGCCAATTTTTCTATTTTTCCACACAGACAGGGTCTCGCTCTTGCTCAGGGTGGTCTCAGACTCCAAGTTCAGAAGATCCAGATGTCTCAGGCTTCCAGAGAGCACGGATTACAGGTACGAGCCACCGTGTATGGCCTGATGTCTTTTTTTATACTCATAGCACATCTCAATCATCTCCATTTGGATTAGCCACAACCCAAGTGCTTAAAAGTCACATGTGGCCAGTGGCTGCCATATTGGATAGTGCAGGTGCAGCGATAAGAGCAAGGCTCTCCCTGGCTGGTGACAGGGCCTCAGGCAAGACCTTGACTATTCTGCCCTGGTTTTGCCTTTCCATAATGATACAAGATGATTCTGAAGAGCTTTTCTAGGCCCAGGAGTAGGTAGAGCTCTGTCTCTTTCTTCCCAAGTAACCTACACATTAAATAGTTTTGAAAAGATAGGTAGGTAAGTAGTTAAATGGGAGAGGGAAAAAGAGAAGAAATGGTAGAAGGAAGGAAGGGGCAAAGAAAAAAGAATACAGAATACAGGCTCACACCTGTAATCCTATCACTCTGGGAGGCTAAGGCAGGTGGATGCTTGAGCTCAGGGGTTTGAGACTAGCCTAAGCAAGAGCGGGACCCCATCGCTACTATTTTTAGAGCCAGGCGCTGTGGCAGGCACTAGTAGTCCCAGCTACTTGGGAGGCTGAGGCAAGAGGATGCTCAAACCCAAGAGTTTGTGCTATGAGGTATGATGATACTACGGCACTCTACCCAGTGCAACAAAGTGAGACTCTTATTTCAAAGAAAAGAAAAGAAAAAAGAAAGAGAGAGAGAGAAAGAGAGAGAGAGAGAGAAAGGAAGGGAGGGAGCAGAAGAGAGGGTAAGGGGGGAGAGGGGGAGAGAGGGAGGGAGGAAGAGGAAGAGGAAGAGAAAGAGAGAAAGAAAGACAAAGAGTGAGAAAGATAGAAAGACAGAAAGAAAGAGAGAGAAAAAAAGAAAGAAAAAGAATATGGGTCAAATGACAGGTTACTCTCCCTTCATCTCCTGGGGGGATATCACTGCTAGAAGCAGAGGGAGTCACAGTGAAAAGGGAACATTCATGGATATGAATGTCTCCTTACAACAGTCCTTGGAACTTGAAATGAGGAATTTTTAAAAAAGGAAGCTGCAGCTGAGAGTTACATTGCCAGACATGTCTTTTTTTTTTTTAGAGACAGAGTCTCACTTTGTTGCCCTTGGTAGAGTGCCGTGGTATCACAGCTCACACCAGCTCCTAGGCTTAGGTGATCCTCTTGCCTCAGCCTCTTGAGTAGCTGGGACGATAGGCACCCGCCACAATGCTCAGCTATTTTTTTGTTGTTGCAGTTTCGCCGGGGCCAGGTTCGAATCTGCTACCCTCAGTATATGGGGCTAGCTCCCTACTCACTGAGCCACAGGCGCTGCCTCAGACATGTCATTATTATCATGTATATGGCAAAAGAAATTGCTCATGTATTTGCCCCATTATAAGCTTGTGAGAATTCACATTTGATTGGTAATATATTTAATGCAAAATCACTTGAGTATAGTTTGAATCAATGTGTCAGTTACTAATATTTATTTGACATCGTTCTTTAATATATATGAATTTTTTTCCTAAAACAATGTGCTTTTTAGGAAAGAAAGAAATGAAGAAAAAATACTAAAATGTCAAGCAGCAGAGGAAAATAAGTTGGTGTGAAAGTTCCAGCTGAATCTGTCATACCTTTTCATTCTTGCAGATTCAAACTACTCGTCCAAATTTCCTAGACAGGCCTTTTAGAAACCTTCTAATGTTTTTGGAAGATTGAGATGGATACCGGAAAAGTGGCGCCCCAGCCAGCTCAGCCAAGCGGGGCTTGGGGACCTGCCACCTCTGTGTTGGTGGCAGCAGCCGACAGAGGAACTGGCAGGTTGGAACAAGTGGATGGGAGCTTCCCTCCCCCCCAAAGGCTCCAGTAGAGCGGCGCTAGAGGACCTGCCGGCTCTGCCACCAAACCAGCAGGCTGGAGCAAAGGGGGGAGCTTCCCTCCTTCAACAGAGACTTCAGTAGCGAAAAGAACCGAATAGTACAGGGAAAGACACTGGCGCCGTGCTGTCTCCTCACGTGGACTTCTGGCAATTCCTCCACTGCATCCCTGATTGGTCCATTTTCAAAACCTATTCACGAATAGTCTATTTTCAAGCCCCAAAAGCTCATTGGACAACTGCCCCTATATAAGCCAGAGACCCTGAGCACAGATTTGGGCAGATCTCAGGAGAAGAGCAAAGAGGTCTGGCTCTGTAACACTTGTATCCTGCTCTATAAGATTTGCCCCTTTGTAAGAGCTGTAAACACTCACAAGGGGGTTCGCCCCTTTGTAAGAGCTGTAAACACAAGGAGGTTTGCTCCTTTATAAAAGCTGTAAACACTTACAAGGAGGTTTGCTCCTTTATAAGAGCTGTAACACTCGTATGATAAAACCTATCTTACTGCTAATTCTACTCTACAAGGAGGTTTGGCTTATTATAAGAGCTATAACACTTATACCTATTGAATAAAACCTATCCTGTGGTCCGTCGCTTCATTCTTCAAACCGCCGAGACCAAGAGCCTGGAAATTCAGTATCAAAAATCCGGTAACAAGATGATCAGAAGTCTTCAAAGTTTTTTTTATGTTTTGTTTCTTTCCTTTTAACACACCCCAAATTAATAATTTTACTGAGTCTTAATGAATCGTGACTCAATAAAAGCCCAACCCCAGGTCTAGGACAGAATGACAATCAAGAAATAGGAATGGCGTTACCTGGTAAGACACTGCGGTTATCCAAACACATGGAAAAGATGCGTTCATACACGAGCTTTCCTGGGGAGGGAAGGACAGATGGTGTTAGCCTCACACTCTTCCAAAGCAAACACTTAAACAGACTTTGTAATGAGGGATTTGGCAATGTGCTTTCCCAGACAAGCTCTAACTTGCGATGCTATGCTGCCATCTAGTGGGACAGATTTTAAGCCATATTTTTGTTTTTCATTTCTAATGAAAAGGGGACTTCTACTTTCTGTGAGAAGCAGGAAAATGACTAGTTTTACCCTTTGGAGTCTTTTTTTTTTTTTTTTTT